TAATTTTTAGTGTTTTTCCTTTTCCTTTTCCCCCCCCCCCCCCCCCCCCCCACCCTTTCCCTCTCCTTCTCCCTCTCCCTCTCCCTCTCCCTCTCCCTCTCCCTCTCCCTCTCCCTCTCCCTCTCCCTCTGATCTTCGTCGTGGTACATCTCTTGTACCTCGACATGGTACAAAGTGATGCTCAAATACTCCCGATGGGGCGGGCCTGGACTCTCAGGCCCGGCCCCGGTGTTGGGCAGGCCCGGTCGCTTCTACTCAAATTGAGACTGGCTGAAAGAATCATAACCTTTTGTAACGTTCTTTGTAGTAAACAATGAAAAGAGTCCTTTTCAGAGAGGGGCCAGTTATGGCAGGCTCAGGGTGGGGTCAAGTCAAAGAGCTGCGTGGGGTGGCAGGAAAAGGGGGGATCCACCATGTAATTCATAGAGGGTGTCATGGGGTGGTAAGCCTTTTTTTCCTTGAGGGGTAGGGTTCAATTGATCATAGTTGAGATCCCCCCGGTGGGTGGTAGCAGTACGTGTACACTGGCTCTTGTGAACTCTGGGGTACTACTCATTCTGCTGGTGGGTACTCTTATTTTTTGGGAGGGTAGGGGGTAGTATCTAGAAAAACAGGGGGTCGTCCTCTTGTGGGGTCACCCATTGATTTCCAGATCCAGAACCAAAGGTAATTAGTGGGTACTGAGGTTCCATGTAATGAGGTAGGTTGTTCCATTGAAGGGGTGGTTGGGTATGAAGGAAAACTTGAGTACCCCTGCGCTTTACTCACTTTTTGTTCATCTGGATGGGGTGATATTTGTTATGACAAATGGGTAGGGGTGGGAGTTTTTTGAGATAGGGGTCGGGTATATGGGAATGAATTATATCAGGTGGGTGGGTGGAGGCTGATCTGGAAAACCGGAGGGTTCTTTACTGTTTTATCAGCGTATGGAGGGTGGGGGTTCTGGTAATTGTAAAACGGTGGGTGGGTAGTTGACAAGGAGACATGAAGGGGTATCCGTGAACAATTCAGAGAACATGGTAGGGTCATACGATGTCAATGATATGGGTGGGGTGATCAAGTAGAGGGTCATTGATTGTGAGTACCCCCTGATTTACTATGAATTGAGCATGTATTTGGGCTAATGTGAGAGAATTTCAAATAAAGTGAGAGGAGGGGTACATATGTGCAGTCATCATGGTGGGTTACATCAATTCGAAAACAGGGTGGGGGGGTGGGGCATGCATCTCAATTTGAGGGGTATATATAAAAATATAGAGGTGGGTAGGGACTTTCATTGAGATTTTGTAGGGTAGGGTAAGGGTGGTAGGGTAGGGGTGGTAGGGTAGGGGTAGGGGGGGTAATATCTACCGCAAACCTAGGGGATGGCAGGAAGGGATGAAGTGGGGATCACAGATCGGGGAGGAGGAGGAGGAGGGGAAGGAGGAGGAGGGAGAGGAGATGGAGGCAGCAGATATTGAATGCGTGAAGTTCGAGAGAGTTTGAGATAGGACGTGACGAGTCTTTGGAGGGGGGGAGGGAGAAAGACACTAAAGTTGGAAGTTGAGACTCAAACTGAGAATCTGGGGGTTTACGGGCAAAACGATCGCATTTGTTTGGTTTTGCTGGGATTTTATCTTTTGATCTGTTGTTTTAGCCTTAGGAGGGTGTGTTACACTTGATCAGAAGACTGACAATCCCGTTTGAGGACAGGCAAATCTAGAAAGAATTCTTGAATTCGTCACGCCCATTCCGAACTCGCATACTGCAGGCATCGTTGTACGTCGACCATCCAGCGGGGATCGTTCCATCAGACGTTCATAACTCGAATTTTCTTTTCAACAACCTTGCTCCTGTCCGCTTCTTGGTTGGGCGGAGAATCCGGATTGATTTGATTTGGACGTATCCCCTTTTCTTCGGACAGGCCCAACTGTAGGCCTGAAGTCGCGCCTTTGTGCAACTCTCAACATCAGCACTCATCTTGCGCTCACTTTGCAAGACGTTGCAAGCATCTCTAGTCGCCCGCATCGCCTCTGAAAGTCGGAGGTGAACCTTCTCGAATCCGTCTGAGTGTGGGCCATGGGGTGACTTGAAGGGGCAGATGACCGAGACACAGAACACGAGGTCGTTAGCTGACCGCCCGAAACGAGATGCTGCGAAGAAGGTTTGGCTCGTTTCGTCTTGCTGATGCTTCCTGTCGCTGACAGTGCTTTCATAACATCCAGTTCCTCAACGGGGTTGATAGCAGTGCCAAGGCTGACCCGCCCAAGAAAGACATCACCATGAATTTGCGTCAGGTGAGTCTGTTGTCTCCTACTCGCTATGCTGTCCACTGCCTCTTTCAGCTCGCGGAAGCCAGTCGTGCTAAGACGCTTTCTCTTCCTGCAGGTACGAAAGCCAACCAAGGAGATGCAAGAGGCGAAGGAAACGAGCGGAGCGAAGAAGGCAGTCGCGCATCACAGCTCTACTTCTGAATCAGATAAGAAGAAGCATCACTCACACGACAACCTCCCGGCCATCGCGGTCGACAAGGTGAAGTTCGTGCAGTCTGCACATCGTGTGACTGGAAATGCCTGTTACACCTTGTGTGTTTTGTTGAGACTCTGTCTACAGACATCTCGTCTGTCTTCTGAATCAATTTTTACAGGGGATACGCAAACTTGACCTTTCTGCTCTCAAGAAGGTCTGCGCTAAAGTTGTCCATCGCTCCTGTTCTCCCACTGCCTGTCCACTGCTCCATCGATCTAAAAGTCCTTTTCCTCCAGTATAAGAGGCACTTTGGACTCAAGACTGGACCAGCCAGCAGTAACAAGGAGGACCTTCAGGTACCTGCCTCCTCCCCTTCCCCTTCATCCTTTCTTGACCGATATGGTCATTCAGGCTGCAGTCATCAAGCACTTCGCAAACGTCCTTCGTGCTGATGCGTCGAAGGTAGAGAAGGTCTGGAACTCAACTGCTCTTGCGCGTCTGCTCATTTTTCTCTTCTTGTAGTCATTTTTGAAGAGAATCCGGGATAACAGGAGCAAGTGGTAAGCCGACATGTCATAGAGAACTGTTGTGGGAGTGGCAGGGAGATCCACGATACAGAGAGCGAGAAGGGATGGGAGAAAGGATTCAACTATCGTGAGAGGGCTTGTGTTTCATTTCATCTCCTCACAAAACTTTTACACTCGTCACTGTTTTCTTTGATTTGGGACCGGACAGATGTCGAGGACTCCGCTGCTCCCGCTTTGTTGCTTTTCACTGTATCATGAGTGTAAGATGATGCTGTTTGACAGAGAAGATTTTTTTCATCTGGCTCTCAATCCAAGGATTTATTGTCTGTTGCATTTCGATGATATGGAGCTTCTCTTAGAATCTTGTAAGAGTTTTACTAAAACATTTCTTTTCATTATCCCAACCTTGCTTACGACATCTCTTGAAATTCATGCAAGGAGTGTGGTTTAATAGTACACCCTCAACAAAAGCAGCTATAGCTGCATCTGTTCCTGCAGAAAATTCCTGGCATACTCACTACCATCGACCTGTCTCTCACCGAAAAGGGGGGGGGGGGGGGGGGAAGTACAATAACCGCTAAACTGAATCCTTCCGAGCACATGCTTTCCCACCTCGAACGTTGGCTGTGCTCCACCTCAAAATCTTTTCTCCTCAGCATCTACAAGCATGAATGATGCACACTCGTGTGAGACATTTTCTCCTCTCTATCACTCGTTTGCGCATCCCTCCGACCCTTGCGATTTTCAAAGTTGCTGTTCCGTCCTCTTCCTATCCCATGCCCTGTTGTCCTTGTCTCCTCGCACTGTCCTCCGAGCTGCTCACAGTTTTCTTGATCTTTCTACTACTTTCTCAACCTCTTCCTCCTCCTCAGTACTCCATCCTTTCCGCTCCATCCTCTACCCTTCCTCCCCGCATCTGCCCTTCCCTCCATTTTCCTTCTAGTCCGGCACCACAAAGAAAAATGATGCGACCCTGTTTCGATGTCGTCATGGTAGGGGTGGAAGTACGTTCCGACTACTAGGGGTAGGGGTAGGTGTAAGGAATCTGAATCTATGGGTGGGGTATTCATAGTACCCATCATTTAACAATAATTTGGTGGAAATGGACCCCCTGTTATTGATGGTAGTGCATCAAATATGACCCCTGGTAAGTATTCGGTACCCTGGTGGTCTTTACCCCCTACCTCCACATCCTGTAGACGGCCCCACCCCTACCCCCTGAGCATACAGACCCGCATCTTTATATGTGTGGGGTGTAGATTAAGCCAGATCTATGCTAACTCACCTTTTAAATTGTTGAATTTTGATACAAATATTTTCATACAATATGAAATTTTGTACATAAATATTTCATATTATATATATAATTTGTTTGAAGTTTACTAAAAAGTTTCTTAAGTTTAGTCGGGAAGTGAGTTAAACGTTGCCGGTACCCCCCGGCCTCCTCATTCTAGCCCCTTCCGCGTGCTTGCTTGCTGCAAGGAGCGGCGTTAGGAGCTCGAAGAGGAGGAGCAAGGCCGTTTGTGCTTCCTGCCTCTTGCTGATACGAAGAGGATACGTCCCTCATGCCATCGTCTCGAGGAATGCGCTTTAACCACAGCGTTCTTCATGCTGTCTTGGCCGCCAGTCTGTTTGCGTCATGCTCTGCCTGGTCGGCATTCAGCCCTTTCTCCAACGTGTTGCTGAAGAGCAGGAGAGCAAATGTGTCTCCTGCATCAGCCCAGAAGAGCTGGGGCGTGAAAGGTGCGAATCAATGCAGGAACCAGCTTCTCAGCTCCTTGAACATGGCCCTGGACACACCATCCAAGCCGGAGACTCAGGCTGGAGCTTGTATCTTCGACCGAGTGAATGAGAGCATGAAGGCGGCGATGAAGAGCAAGGATAAGGATCGTCTTGCAGCTGTGAGACAACTACAACTCCGTGACACCTGCGCTGTAGCTGATACTTGGCCTTGGGGTAGGTGCGAGCGGTGAAGAACGCACTGCAAACCGTGGCCAAGGACAAGGTCGAGCCGGTTCCTGGCAGAGTGAGCGGAATGACGAA